TGAATACACAGTTGAATTAATTATTTAAAGTTGTGCTATTAGCAGTGAGTATTAATAAAGACCAAAAGAACAACTCGAAGTGTGGGCTGGGATTTTCAGGGAAGGAATTGTTAAGTGGGCAGGATGTAAACTGATTTGAAATATAAGCAGAATTTGGAATGGTGGAAAGTCACGGCAGAAGGACGTGAGAAACAATAAAGAGGCACCCTTCTTTTACTAAGCATACAGATCATCTAGAATGAAAGAATGAAAGAAAGCTTAGTATCTTCAGGCGATGAATTTAAATTTGATCTAAGAGGCAATGGAGAAATGCTACATTTTATACAACATTTTATAATCAGCACAGGAAAAAAACAACAGGTGGACACAGAAGGACTGACTCTGCTCATCCTCACACAAAACTAGATTTGAGGCTAGACTGAGTCAGGAAAAGTAGAAAATGCAGTGATAAGGAAAGAGAATTGGGCAGCAATGAGAGAATCAACAGTTTTGTTTCACTTTATTATATTCTAGTCACTTGGGAATCACCAAGAGTCTACTTAGCAGTTTGTCTCACAATACCAGTTGTATTTCAAAGCAGAATAAAAGTAGTATTCTCAGAATGGAAGATAAAGGTTGGAAAGAAAATCTCCTTAAGAAAGGGAAGATGTGGGAGTTTAACTCTGTTAATTCAAAATCTGAGGGTCTTTTTCCAAAAATAAAGCACAGAAAGCAACAAAGTATGGATACATGAAAGGGAAGAGAGATATGTACTACCTGCCCTGAGTTGTGTGAACCTCATGACCATGTAGAATTCTTTTATGGTAACCAAAAGAGTTAACATTAAACGTTGAGGAAGAAATGTTCCCAGGAAATGGAGGTACTGCGTGACCTACAAGAGATCATGTAACCCTAGTCTGGGTGGTTTCAGGAATGGTATAAAGAACTAGGCCAACAAACTGCACTAGACATAGAAGCTAGTTGAATAAACTCATCCACTTCCAATTTCATTTCCGATATCTCATGAGAAACTAGAAGACAAAAAAAAATTCTAAAATTAACATAAAACATAGTTTACAATGAGCATAAATGACTGCCTGCTGACTATAAAATAATTGATTCAGATGAATTAAAGAATTAAACTAGCTATGGGAAATGTATACTCTATAATTAGGTGCACATTTATTTTATTTTATCTTATTTCATTTGGAGACAGGATCTTGTTCTGTCATCCAGGATACAGTGCAGTGGTGCAATCATGGCTTACTGCATCTTCAGCCTCCTAGGCTCAAGAAATCCTCTGCTTCAGCCTCCTGAGTAGCTAGGACTACAAATGTGTGACACCACACCAGCTAATGTTAGAATTTTTTTTGTAGAGACAGTTTTGCCGTGTTATCCGATTTGGTCTTGATGTCCTGGACTTAGCTTATCTGTCTGCCTTGGCCTCCCAAAATGTCTCGATTACAGACACGAGACATCAAGCCTGGCCTTAGGTGCACTTTTAAAACATACGGAATTTAGAACAGCCAGATGGAAATAATTTCAATTAAATGATTTCAACTTTTGTAAAATATACTATATGCTTCCAAATCTGTACACAGAAATCTTTCATTTAAATAAAATAATTTTGAATTTTTTTCTTTTTGCTTTACTGTCACTTGGTAGACATAAACAAGATTGTAAAGATTATTTTAGTAAAAGCTGAAAAATTAAGTATTAAAAGTCAAAATAAACACTTTTTTGGGGGGACCAATGATGACAAAGAGAGGGCAATAAGAGGAGCTTTGCTTCAGGCTCAAATTTTGTATTACTCTGAAAGGCAATATTAGTCCATTTTGGTTAAAGATGGGAAAAATGAAAGAACACGTATATAACAGGGAAAGCAGAAAACTTTTTCAGTTTCTAATAAAAAAAAATCTAGACATACCATTATTCCAATAAATGGGTTTAAAAAACTCTAGTGTACAACATAAAACACAAATCCTTTTGAAATCATAATGTCCTCATTATGAGAGTACAGTAACACACATAAAAGTTCCAGACTAATCCAATTAGAAAGAGTTGACAGCATTCACATATATAACCTGAAAAAATTATACAGCTGGTTGCTTATACCTAGAAATAAACTACAGATCGAATAGCATGTGAAACTAATTTCATTAATTTTTATTTTCACAGATGATAAATAAGGCATTTAACTTAAAAGTCTTTAAGAAAGTTTAGCAAAATATACAGTTAGATCTGATAGCAACATGAAGTTAAATAAGTTTGAAACAATAAGCAGCCATGTAAGATTCTCTAAATCAAATTTCAATATTAGCAAAATCTATAGTAAATAAAGACTAGAGGATACTCTAATCAATAATTCACAACACTAAAATAACACTGAAAAAATATTCATGATGTCCCATTTTTTTAAAATGTGTAAATTACCAGAAAAAGTATTTTATATTAAAATATACAAAGTTGGTACCAATTTATGAGGCTTATTAACCAGACTCAAGACAAGTAGTTAAAAGACACTGAGAGCTTATACATGAAGAAGCACAAAGTGTTCATTAAAAATATTCCATTTTATTACTAATAAAATAAATACAAATAAAAGCAAGGCATCAAATACTACAATTTATATCCAATATTGAATCAAGCTATGGAGAACAGGTACATTCAAAAGCCTTGGGTCACACACATCTTTTGGCAATGATAAAAGAGCTATCAGATCACTTACACCCCTTGACCCAGTAACTCTACTCTGAAGAATTTATCTAAGCATTTATCCCAAAGGGGAGAAAAGTAAACCACATTATTTTTATCAAAAACAATGGAAACAACTCATATGTGCAACAAGCAGGGAAATAAATTATTACATATAACCCAAGGAGAATAACATAGCTATTAAAAAGGAAAGAACGCATTCTTATGACAAAGCAAGAAGTGCGTATCAAAAGCTTTTAAGGTTAAAAAAAAGAATGTAACATGATATAAAACATTACTGATGCATAAAATGTTATGCTTACATAATGAAGATGTGTTTTGAAATAGCTTTTTAAAAAAAGTTTACAGATTTTTTACTGTAAAGCTACTAAAATTGGTATGACAAATAAAAATGAAGACTAATAATTTTTGAAGTCACCAATATTTCTAGGAGAGTTTCTTAAGGCATGGTATAAGAGATATTTCTTTTTTAAAAAAATGGTGTCAAATTTCCCTGGAAAGTCATTTCTGGAAACTATGAAGCAAACCAGCCTGTGTATAGTAATATCTATAATATTATAATAATATTTCCAATGTGAACTCATGATTTCATAGCTGAAAAGCTTTGTTTTAGTAAGCTGGAACAGGAAGTTGCGGACTATACTGAAATAAATTAGAGTGAGATTCTGATGATCAAATATTTTAGTAATAATTTGGCTTTTAAAGTCAACTCAGTGCTAGTATTTTGATTCTCAATATTTTAATACTAATGATGAAAGACTAAAGTGTTTGGCTACTATAAATTAATCATCTTTAAGACACAAGCATATCTTATCGACTGTCCATAGAGATTTGTAATATCTATTCCCCCAAAATAATTTTTGTATATTCTATTTGCTCTGCTCATTAGCTAAGCTGCTGCTTCAACTCAGCATTTTATTAAGTGACACTCAGGTAAAGTGGAGTTCTTATGATAAAGGTCACAAAGCAGGATTACAAGACATGTTCTCAAAAGTTTTAAAATTATTTTAGAACTGATATGAGAGTCAACAATTTTAGCTTTTTAAATATTTCACCTAATTTTTCTATGAATAATGATGGAAAGGTTTCAAAAGAAGTGACATAAAAGTGGGCTTTATATAGTACATGTTCTCTATTAAAGCATTATTATCGTATCTTTTAACCCCAAAGGGGGTAAAAGCCCACAAAACTCATAAGATATAACTAATCACATTTAAACAAAGAACTCAGTAAAAAAATCCTGATAATTGATTAACTGATGTAATGCCTTTAAAATAATTTCCCAATGGAAGTCACCATCCCTTAACTTCCATCAAAACATGCTGTATCTTCTATTGAAAAATATTTGTGGAAATAAAATTACAAAGCCCACACTAACCTGAGAGCTCTGTACACAGGGATGGCTTGCTCTAAGGCTGCCTCCTAAACAGCATGAAGTCCGTGCCAGAAAGCCCCACTGCTACACTAAAAAAGTACAGTTTATATGAGGTTAATTCTCTGAATTCTCTTCCCCTTCTACTAAGGTAAATAAAAGAAGACAAAAAGTACTAGTGAATAATGCATGCTGAATCTCTGAAAATATCTTAGTAAAGGCTAAAATATTCTTAAAAACAGATGGGCAAAATACTTAAGAAATAAATTATTCTAATTGCAGCGCCGGAAGAAATAAAAAACAGTAGACATTTTGGTTATGTGAACCTCTGGTATTATTTGGCTGCAACATACTTAGTCCATTTATAATAGTGTCTATTATTATAAATAACCTCACATATGGAATGTATGTAGGTAATACAATGTGTTAAGAAATTAAATGCCTGTTTCCAATATGTTCTACTTAAATATTTGTAAATTTTCTTTACTAAAGTTGAGAGGTTTCTATTACACTTTTAAATACTAGATACCAATTTCAGATATAGCTGTGAAATATTCACTACATTAGATTTTTCACTATTTTCTTTTATCCTTGAAATATTTATTGAATACTTACTAAAAATAAGGTTTCTGTTTTGAACAAAGCAATTTCTGACCGGCTAGGTTTTCCTCCTTCTCTAACTAAAATTCAATTTTATCTCTATTTTTGTGTTTTTTTAATTTAATGCTGCACTACAGAACAAAGAAAAAAATAATAGTTTTTAGAGATAGCTACCGTGGCAACTTTTGAATAGTGAAAAAAGTCACGTCATTTTCCCTATCTCTAAACAAAAGGCAGATTTTAATAATTTGCAATTTTCCTAAGAAAAATGCTCTTCAGTTCCTGAGTATTTTAGTTGTTAAAATTTAAATTTGGAATACAAAAATTTACTTACTTCCAAGCTGCCTCTCTTTATTGGATTCAGCACTAATAATTTCTTGAGAAGATTTTCACAGTCTGTGGACATATAGAAGGGAATACGGTACTTCCCTCGTAAAACTCGCTCCCGAAGTTCCTTAATAAAAGTGAAAGAAAGCACTTACAACTGGTTTTTGAAATGATCATACTTAAGGATAAAACATTAATATCAAATTTAGCGGATACCTTTAAATTCTGGCCATCGAAAGGCAAGGAGCCACTGACTAACGTATAGAGAATGACGCCCAGACTCCACACATCCACTTCGGGCCCATCATACTTCTTTCCTTGGAAAAGCTCAGGAGCAGCATAGGGTGGGCTTCCACAAAATGTGTCCAATTTGTTCCCAACTGTAAATTCATTACTAAAACCAAAGTCAGCAATTTTAATATTCATATCACCATCAAGGAGAAGGTTTTCAGCCTAAGAGGAAAATAATGAAAAGAATGATGTAAAAAGCCTACGTAAAATAAAAATATTTGTTAAAAGTGTTTTAGCTTCTAAACTAACATATCTCTTGCCTCTTATTTCTAAATGTAATATCAAATTTAGAAGCCCAGTATGGTACTTCAATGCGTAACTGTTCTGAGTTACATCTATATAAGACTACATTTTGACACTATAAAAAGAAAGCTCTCTTTATATGCATACATGCAACTACTTAAGAAAGGTTATTTAAAACCCATTTTCTTTCATAGGTTATTTTAAACTCATTTTTTTCCTCATAGTCAGAAACATCCTGGAAGTGTATCTTTATGTGACCTACTCTAAAGTACATAACACTAATCCATTTTGGACTTAAAACCAACAAGATTACCCAAAGGAGTTCTATTTTAATAGGGTATTGTTGGTTAATGCAAGCCTCAAGCGTATATCTAAAGTAACTGCCTGTCAGGGGTTCTGTGACTACTACTTCATTCCTTTGTCCTCTCTTGTAGAATCATTCCTCAACAAAGTACTGTTTAAGTGAAACATGACCAAACAAAATATAGCCTCCATTAGATCTTGTCTGTTTTAAGCGTCTTATTGCTGTTCTAAAACCAGATTCTCTTCTTGAAGTATATTTACACAGAAAGCAGTGAATTATCCCCCAATGCGGTGAGATGCTGGTTTTCCAAAATCCTAAAGCAGAATCACTCAAAGACAGTATTTTAAATGTCCCTTTTGTAAATAGAAGCAACTTAACAAAGGACTTGCTTTTGTACATGTTTTGTTTCAAACTCTATTACAATGGATGGATAGACTAACAAAGTTACAGATTACTTTGCCGATGTGTCTTAGCAGGTTCCAAAAAGGAATAAAATTTGACTAAAACAAAAATCAGACTACTCTATATCACTGGAAGGTCTAACAATCATGAGTCAAGCACTCTACCCATCACATAGCTCTTCCTTCCCTAACCCCCCAACCCTTGTTGTTGTTATTGTTTTATGGCATACCAGCTTGGGATATTTGCTTTCATTTTATTTTGGAAAACGCAGATACACCTAGCACCTAAAATAGACAATAAAAATGGGGTATCATTTATTAAATAAATACTATAAAAGCACATATATTTGGAAAAATGCATATTAGATTGTAACATTTTTGAAATGTGACAAAACCAGGTTATTTTGATGTTCTGATGTAAGAGCCTGGTCACTGTAAGTTTCTGAAGCTGTTTGTAAGTAAGCTGGACTTTTTTCAGTCTCTCTAAAAATGTCTGAACGGATATCAAAGTATCCAAGCTGCCTCAGAAAAGAAGAGCTGCAGGGGGGTTCCGAGGTCTCCTTCCAAGAGTGTATAGGAAAACTCACTCTACTGGACTAAAGGGAAAACACAAGGTTTTGAACATGATTATTTTTTGAAGATCTTTTTCATATAAGAAATGAGATGATAAACTGGGAATCAGGCACAGAAGCAGAGGAACAGTTCTCTTCTTTCTCATTTGTCATGGAAGTGATTCCCCTTAAAATAGCCAAGGAAGGAAACCAAGAAATAAAAAAAAAATTGGAGGAACAGAAAAATCATAAGCTCTGAAAAACAGAAGCTAAAATGGAGAATTAGACTTTAGACTTTTGGCAACTATTTAGGGTCATATATTCAAATACAACCCAAACTGATGCTAGTAGTTGATAAAGATGATTAGGAAAAAAGAAAAATCAGACTTCTATGTAAGGAACAATGCAAATCAAATTTGGAAGAATAGAGAAAAAAGGAAAAAGAGATGTAAACATTTTAGCTCAGGGTGTTTCCACTTTCAACTTACTTAAATGGTTTCAACAACTTACACTGTTGTGTCACAAAATCTGTGGCACAATCATTTACTGACTACACATTTCTTATTCCAAAGTAAGCTCATTTATACTATTATATGCATCTAGTGTTTATAAAAATGTTTGAAAACTTTCCTTAGGTGGGGGTGGGACCAAAAAAAAAAAACTTTCCTAATTCTTTGAGGAAACAGTGAGCTTTAGGGTAGAGAATGAATATTGCATCTTACATTAGGCAAACATGGGTCTGTGCTCTGACTTTGCTTCTGTCTGAGGTCCCACACTTTTGGCTGGGAACAAAATTCCACATCTATGCATTTAAAACAAGCTAATTAATGGTGAATCAAATCCTCTAGCCTTTAAAGCTAGATAACTTCTTACTCATATTTTCTTCATTTACTCAGTGAAATATTTACCTTTCATAAAGTTGCTGTTAAAATAAAAAAGTGACTACCTGCATAGTGTCTAATAGTGCAGTTAGGCAATAAAGAAGACAGCTCTAATATTATTATTAAATATATATTAATAATACAGTTTTTTAAAAAAATTAAAATCAGAAGCTTACCTTAAGATCACGGTGAACAATGCACTTTTGATGACAATACTGTACAGCAGATACAATCTGGAATAAATATTTGGATAAAAGGGTCAAATTATTTTATGATTAAAAAAACAATTTTCCCCAATAATCACCTTGAATTTAGATAAATTACTAACTTGGATTTCAAGGTAATATTTAATAAATCTGCTATGCCTTTAGTTCAGAAAACTAGATACATTAAAGTGATTAAATTGCTCATAAATGTAGAAAATAGGAAAAGTAATATTCTCTTGCTAAAATACAATAAAATGTTTCTTTGTCAGAGGCTGTGAAGATTTCATATGGATCATTATAATTGGAATGTATACAATTTATAGTTTTGGTCAAATGGTTTATTACAATGTTGAAATAAAAGCTTTGGCACACATGAATTAGTATTTTAAGATAATTGCCTCAAGTTAAAAAAGCAAAACTCTATTCTAGGAATTACATAAAATGTGCTCAAGGTATGTTTCTTTAGTGAGGCCAATTCACTAAGAACTTATCAATGAGGTATTTAGCAGTATCCTTATTTGTTTGTTTATATATAAAGAGAAGGGAAAATTTTTGAGCCTTAAAAAGAAAGCTGACCAGCAATAATAAAGAGGGGAAAATGAAATTCAATCTTAACTCTGTCACTAATTCAGTCAGGTAAAGTATTCTATGCCTGAAACTAGATTTTGTATGCAGCCATAATTTTTAACCACTACATAGAGCTCTTTGGGACAAGGGCTAAACAAGGAGGAACCCAACAGTTTAAAGGCCAAAAATATAAGAGAAATAGATTATAAACAATTCTATGTTACTTCTTTATTACATAAAATACAGAAGTGGAAAGAATCTGATAGCAATCAATTAAGAACTATTTTTGTACATATAATTATATCTGATGAATAGAAGGATGGTCATTTTATGCACAGCAGAACATTCAATTCTGTGGATTCAGTTAAATATAAACATAGTTTGAATGTTAGGTATTTACAAATGGAGATAGAAATGAGACTTTTTAAAAGTCTAAAGGTGATGTGAAATATGACCATGCTAATAGGAATATGGGTGAAAAAAAAACTTCAAAGTAGAAGTGAACTGATATTTCAGTATTATAAAGTTATTCTAATGTATATTAAAATTGTTCAAAGACACAGAAAACATGAATTCCAAACAAAATCATCAACACACAATGAGTAATATACAATTCCATTTAATTCATTTTGATTCAACAGTTTATTGAGCACCTCCTATGTGCAAGAAAATGTGCTGGTAGCTAGGCAAATACAAAAATGAGTACTACATGGACTCTGTTCTTAAGGAGCTTACAATATGATTAAGAAGAGAAAATAAGGTATATATGCTCTATGTACTTTGTATTCTAGAGGTATGTATTATTATTTAGAGAGGTATATATTTATTACTTTTCTATATATTATAAAGACGTATATATTATTTCTTTATAAGGTGGAATCATAGAACTCTACCTTTTTATGAGAATCATAAAAAATAAAGAATATTTTCAGTTGGAAACGCTTCCTGAAAGAGGTGCTATTTAGTCTAAGCCATCCTTGAAGGACAGAAATATTTTAAAATGTAGAGATCTGGGGATGGGGAGGTGGGGGTAAGGTGGTGAAATGAATTAATGACAAGGGAACTGTGTATTTGAAAAGCAGGTTGGGGTTGATGCCTGTAATCCCAGCACTTTGGGACACTGCAGTGGGAGGAGGGTTGCCTGAGGCCAGGAGTTCAAGACCAGGCCTTGGCAACACTGTGAGACCCCCATCTCTAAAAAAAATAAAAATATTAGCCAGGTGTGGTGGTGTGCACCTGTGGTCCCAGCTACACAGAGTCTGAAGCAGGAATATCTCTTGAGCCTAGGAGGTTGAGGCTGCAATATGCCATTTTCACACCACTGCACACCACCCTGGATGACACAGTAAGAACCAGTCTCAAAACCAAAAAATAAACAAAAACACCAAACAAACAAACAGAAAAACCCCACAAAACCAAACCAAACAAAACCAAACCAAAACACATTTAAAGAAAAAGAGGTGGAAAAATGGTGATAGTGGGAGTCAGATCTTGACAAACAGGTTGATAAAATCCTGAATTCAAAAGTAAGCAGATACTGCAGAACCACTACATGTTTTTGGGCAGGGTGACTGGGAATGATTATGATCAATTTTAAGTATGATTCCTAAAAATACAGAAGGATCTCATGATTAACATTTGTAGTACTAGTTTTCTTAAGCAATAAGCTTCAAAATTCTAATACTCAATTTTCACTAAATTATGTTCATGAGCCAAAAGATATATACATTTATTTATATGTATATTTTATTGGACATACTATATAGGTTATAGTATGTTCAGATTGTAAGATTATTTTTTATCATGGGTGATAGAAATTTGCTGATAATGACATTATCTTTTATTAGTCACATGTTTGTATATCCATTGAAGGTGCGCAACAGATAATAATTTGGTTACCAAACATGATCAGAGGCCATGCAATTCATGTCAGACAGAATGGTATCTATGAAAGCAGTTCTCCAAGCACTTCTAGAATCAAACATTTCCTGAGCCTCAAAGCATTAAGAACGGAAAGATAATTACAAATAATCCTCTGTATTAAGCACGTGTGATCCCCAAATACTATGACCTCTGAGCTATCAGTGGTAGTTTATTATAGTATTACCACACTTGCTTAGCAGGGAACAGTTTTTGCCATGAAAGAAGTTCTGTTTTCTGACTCACTGCAAGAATCCCCCTCCACAAGCCCAACTTTTACTGCATTGTTTTACAGCTAGATCTTCCCATCTCAAAACATTCTGTACTTCCATAAATAGGATACAGGAACTTCCCTATGAGTCTTCTGTTATGAATCTTAAAAACATGATTTACAATCAGCTGGGTAATAACAGTAAGACCACACACATCAGTGTTTTCCATTGAGAGTTATCACGGTTACTTTGCAATTATTAATATCTATAAATGGGTCAGGAATTCCTGTGGTTGAAGTGGTAGAAAAGCATTATACAGGCAATGGCTGCTAAGTGGTCTTAAACTGCTCTAGTGTCTTCAGTATTTCTAAAAGTAAAGTCAAGGACATATTTACATTTATCCTTGCTGACACAGTATTAATACACACATTCTTTTACTGTTAAAATAAAAAAGCAAATAAAAGTAACTATATATTTATTAATTCTGTAAGAGTTTAAATCAAATCCGTAAAGAAAATTAAGCTCCTCAAAAATAAATTTAAGTAAAAATTTACCTTCAGTCAGGTAACTACAAAATAACGTATGTGTATCCACGTGTGTAAGGATGTTTGCATGTCTCTGGTTTCTAAAAATATGAGTTAGTAACTTTTTTAGTTTTGGGCAAACATAAATAGATATTAAATAACATTTAAAATTTACAGTAAAAGAATAAATTATAAAGAAAATATTTTCCATTGTTTTCCAATTTAAACAGCATTCATTTGGCACTCAGTCTCTGCAATGTGAGATATATGAAGCTGGTTTCAAAACATTTCAGACTTTATTTCAAAACACAAGCCAATTTTAGTCATTATTTGTATTTCTATAAAAATATCTGTGTCCCAACTTCCTATACTGCTCTCACTCACCAGCAAGATGAAAAGCTCTTTAAAATAGCAGGCACTTCCAATTTCTCTAATTCCATATAGTACCCAGTACCATTTTCTACACCTATCAAAAAATAAGTAAAACTAGCTGCCTAAAAAAATAAGAGTAAGTAGCAATCATCTTTAAAGTAAACACTAGGATTCCAATGGGAATATTTAATGCAAATTGTACCTTTCTTGCTGGTCTGCTACTAACAAAAGCTACTGTGACTGATATTAAATGAGTAATATTTAAAATGATTTGTGTGGCTGGGTGCAGTGGCTCATGCCTGAAATCCCAGCACTTTGGGTGGCCAAGGTGGGCAGATCACCTGATGTCAGGAGTTGGAGACCAGCCTGGCCAACATGGTAAAACCCTGTCATCACTAAAAATACAAAAATCAGCTGGGTGTGGTGGTGTGCACTTGTAATACCAGCTACTCGGGAGGCTGAGGTAGGAGAACTGCTTGAACCCATGAGATGGAAGTTTCAGTGAGCCAAGTTAACAACACTGCACTCCAGCCGGGGTGACATAGCAAGACTACATCTCAAAAATAAATAAAAATTAAAAAATAAAAGAATGTGTGTAATACTTTATTTAAGGGTAAGCTTGAACTTCCATCCCAGGAAAGGAAATAATTTAGCAGTACGTGGTTGAATACCATTCGGTTTCTTAACGTTGCTTTCCTTATTACCAGTTGTCTTTACCTTCAGCTATTTCAACAGGAATACTTCCAGTAATCTATCCCAAATAAAAGGGTTACACATGTCTTTGGTATAAAGCACTTCACAAATTGTGTTCCAAAAAGCAGTAATTCTGTGAGATATTAATAACAGAAGTTTCACAAAACAAACACTCATTCCATGGTCAACCTGGAGAATGCCACATTATAACAAGTTAAACAGGCTTTTTCCTCCCCTCCCCTTCAAAACTTCTCTATTTGTTTAACACGTTAACATGTAAGAGTCTTTTCCAAACATACTGATCACAGAACCTCTTTAATTGTAGAATTAAAGTGTTCACAGAGACAGAAGAGGTAGTGAGCCATTTTTAAATAAAAATTCTAAATTTACTAAAAGTTTAGGATACAGTAAATTGTCCACTTAAACTAGGACATTTTATGAACAATTTACAATTCACTGATTTTCTATTTCTATGGCAACTTATATGTATGCTTATTTCACTCACTTCAGTTCTAAAAATTAAAAATAAAATTCTAGATAAAGTTTTTTAATTTTATCATTTCTATAAGTCGTATTCAAGTTGAACTGGAAATACGAATATCTTACCATATTCCTCTGCCTTATTTGCAAAGTTTCTTGCCTACTTGGTTAAATCAAATTAACTATATGCTTTAAATCTACAAAAGAGAGTTTAAACACCAAAACATCTTTAGTTAAAAGAATACAATAACCTCTTTAACAGTACACATATATGCTGTACATATAAAACCAGTAATAATTTATAATAATTATTGGATAAAGACATCAAAGGGTTAACTATTTTTTTTCTATCTCCGTCTAGTCTATGCTTCCGGGACCCTCAGACAGTTCATTAGGTAAGCCTCATCTATAAATATTTACTCTTTACGACAATGTAAAAATAACCATCTGCAACTATTTAAATTCAGGAAAGGTTTATTTTTTAGGAGTTTTCCATCCTTAAAAATGTAAGAAAGCAGGAATTCTTCTTTTTAAAATACCATGTGTTGTGAAGTCCAGTTTGTAATACTGTCCCTTGTACATCACTAATAATGTCAGCAAAACAAAGTTGAAAACTACTTTCCATACCTGCCTAAATTTTGCACGAGCCTCTTTCTCTTTCATTCTTCCATGGGCAACTAAGTAATCAAATACTTCACCTGAATCAGAAAGGTAAAGCAGGTAGTAAAATATACACAGATTTTTGATTAACAATATATGCAATGTCAATTTTTTTCCTTGTTTATAAAGAAATTTTTGGCCCATACTTTTCTGCTAGTTTATGTAAGTCACAAACTAACACATGAATAGAAAAAAAGGAAAAAATTACATATAAAATTGAGTATCTGCAGCAGTTTGTATTTAGCAAACTCTTTAAAAAGTAAGTCATAAAAACACAACCAAGAAAACTTGCTTTCTGCTTTCAAATATTATGTAAAAATACAGTCAACTCTTTATTATCCATTCTAGTAAAGGGAAGCCACAGCCTGGGCAATCAAAAATTACATTTGGCTTTCTATTTGGGGCCTATGTTTCAAACAAAACAATGAAGTCTTTCTTGTTGGACTGCTCTTTTAAATTCTCCCTGTCATATGGTCTGGATAAAATTCCATCTCACTACTTCCATCCACATTGATTTCTTTCTTTCCTTTCCTGTACTCTGTGTTTATTCTCACTCTACTCATTTCATACATTTTAGTAGTTAACCACAAATTATACAGAATTAAATCATTTGTGTGTATATCTCTATTACCCCAGATGAACTGTAAATTACTTGAACATCCTCATAATATCTGTACTTCATCTCCATGGCAGAACACAAAGTACATAAATGTTTGTTGAAATAATTTTAAAATAACTAGAAGCTTTGGAAATTTCCTACTAGATCCATTACTTTACATGTCCACAAGTTTTCCTTTTTCTCTAGTTAGCAAAATAGCTTAAAACTAAATTAATCTTGAGTTATAATTTTTAAAATATTACCTTAGTATAAGGGTTAAATTTATTTTTGTGTCCTTATAATTTGTACCATACAGATATACATGTATATTAAACACACAAAATGGCTTAAAATGTTCTTGAAAGTATGGCAAAGTGGTAACAATAAAATATAAAAAAACTCAGGTTTTAGAATCAGACCAATTTTGGTATGAATTTTGGTTTAGCCCTATGTACTACTGAGAGACATTATTAGGAAGATTTCTTAACTTCATTAAGTTTCTACCTACTGCCTACTCACATGGTTTTAAGGATTAAATGAAATAATGCATGTGCTTAGCACAGCAACTGGCATATAGTAAGCACTCAATAAATGGTGTTTTTGTACCTAGGTATACAGATATATTACATATACATGCAATATCAATCCTAGGATATAAATAAATACTAAAAATCAAATATGTAATGAACATATGTCAGATCAAACTAATACATCTACAGTGTTAGAAAGCATATTATATAATATTAAGCATACTTAAGTGATTAAATGGGATGACGAGAACAGAGAAATGAAGGGATGCTCTAGTTGACTCATCACAGTAGTTAATTCTAGATGTGTGGTAACAGTTGTTAATTCTAGTTAACCCATCATAGTGGTTAATTCTAGATATGTCAGTTTAGGCAGGGAAAGATATATATAAGAGTTTGAAAAATTTGGATTATTCTTAAGTACTGCCTAGAATACACTTACCCCAGGTATTTCCATGACATAGTCCTGTACTTATCATATATTGTTTGTATATGATTTACTTCCCCAACTAGAATGTAAGCATCTTAAGGGCAGGGACTTTGTCTTTGCTCACTAATGTATTCCCAGCACCTAGAACATTACCTGATACATGCTAAGCATTTTATAAATGTTGTTTGAATAAACAAAAGAAAGAATAAACACATCATTTCACAGTAGTCCTAACACCTACTTTTAATAGGCTCCTTTGGATTAAACATGGTTCAAAATAAAAGATTTTTCTGATTTTTCTAATCACTAAAAATTTTCATTCCATTAGTGAGCCAGAATCAGCTGATCAATTCTTGGCAAAGAGGCAATTGTCTAACTTAATTCTTATTCACATTACCATTCTAGCATACATGTCAGATTTGATCCTAAACTACTGAGAAATCTCAGAGGTGTTTTATTTTCCAGAGTTACCCTGCCATTTACAGACTAAAAAGGCAAGAAAATGATTCTAGATTTACTGCCACAGAACCATAATGGGTTTTGTTACAGAATCACTAACTTGCAAAATTCAAAGAAAACTTATCGCAGGAATCAGAATTTAATGAGGTTGACTGGTATGGTCTGAATTCATGTACCCATCTCTCTGTGCTACTCCCCACTGTGTCTCCCAACTATGCTACTGAAGGAGAGCAGTGATGGCCTCACATACTCTTAACTCTAGCCATTACTCCCCTTCATTAGCACCAATAGAGAGTTGACTGTACTTACCATTAACCATTAAGTCAGTACACATATTAATATTAACAACTTGCAGTGGGCCTTTATAAAAACAGAAGGGTGTCTACAGAATTTAGCAGTCTATATCCCAATCAAAGTGGGTCTAGCCCCTTTCTCTATATTTTACATCACTAAATGGAAAAAAGGAGTTTCACTAAATTAAAAATAATATTTGAGGTTCCCATGCGACAGATTATTACAGCAATCTAACTGAAGGACATAGAAATAGAGAAAAAGTTCATTATGTGGTATTTGTAGATTCATTAGTTTCATTATAGATCTACATTTTATGCAAATTTACATCGCTGTTTTAATATAATTTTTAAAATCCTATAACAAACACTAATGATATATTTTCAAGTTAAGTAAAAGAACCTACATTGAAGTATTTTTTTCAGGGGACAAAAGCTTTGCAAAAAAAAAAGTACTAAAATATGGAACCTGTATAAACAACTACAAAAGCAATTAAATATATTAACATCTATAGTAAAGTTTTCTAGAAATACAAGATAGTATAAATATAGTTTAGTTGTTACAGACTAGATAAATCCTTTCTATTCCAGTTCACATAAAATCTGAATCACCATAAAAATCTATAAATTTCATTAGCTAGAAGGGCTCAATAGTAAGTTCGACACTAAGTTTTTCTATTGAATAGCAAAAAATCAATCAGCCAAATAATTTCAGATGCCTTCTTTCTTCTTCAATTGGTTAAATTCTGAGCACTTAAAACCTCCCTTTATGTATTTTTTTTTTACTTATTAAATGATTAATTCCATAAATTTTCAACCTATTTCTGAAAAAGTGAAGTCCTAAGTCTAATAGAAAAGTGATTTTGAGCTGATGCATTTCTCATTTAAGGGAAAGTGCAGGAGATGAAGGTGATTTTCTATTACATATCAGTGTTTAAAAATCATTCCTATTTTTGACACCATGATAGTCAAAATATACATGATAATATACTACAAATATACCTTACTATCTCCATCAACTCAGTTCTCTAACACATAAAATGTATAGATCAATACTTGTTTAAATGGAAACATTTGCTTCATTTTATGAATTATCTTGAAAATATATGTATATTGAGAATCTGTCATATGTGAACAATCAGTGAAATAAACACCTGGCCTAGAACAAGCTTTTATTATAGATTTTATTAAATACATTCTGCACTTGAGATTCCCTGCTGATAGCCAAAGTTTCTAATCATGATATGATATATTATTATGATAAAATTTAGATAAGAGAATACATTTGTAAGATGACAATACAAACTTAACGCTCCAAAAAATGTCCCTAAGTAAACTGTAAATAAGCCAAAAATTCTATTTATAATGTAGGATCAAAAGGACTTAAAAGTAAACACTGAATTTTCCTTAAGATGTAATTTAAAAGCATTTAAATAAAACAATAGATTCATTAACAACATTGAAAACATAAAAATGTCATAATGAACCCTTAGGTATTAATAATTCTGTATGTCTCAGCAAAGAGAACTTTTCAATCACCCTCATTCTTACCCCCACTCGCGTATTCCATGACTAAATAGAGAGTCTTCTCTGTTTCAATAACTTCAAACAATTTTACTGAAAAAAAATTAGAGATACAACTTTATAACTGTTAGCCCAGATTGAAGGTTTTAAGAAAATCTAAGGTAGCATTAAACGAGTTAAAACATTGACTATTTACTAAACATTATACAATTTTAAGTTCAAAAAGTCTCTCTGAGATTACTTCTGAGTTAACCAACTGTGCAAACGGGCCACCTGCGAGATTACTTCTATGACAGAAAACTGTTTACCACAAAGTGATTTAGAACCAACTTCTTGAGTTGAAAAAGTTGTTTCTGAAATTAAGAAGCCATTATTTTTCAAATTAGAATAAGCTTATAAAAAGAACTCTTAAAGTCAAAAAAATAGAATTTAAACTGAAGTTTAAAAAGAGACTATGTTATATTACAGTGAGCCATTATAAAATGTTAAATAGTCTTTGGTGCAGAAATAAAAGAAATTCTATATTTCTGTGACATTCTAAAAGTTTTTGGTTAGAAAAACTACTAAAGTATCAAATTTATGTAGTTGAAATATTCATCCCAAATAAGCACTTTAACAACTATTTTTAAATGTGCCAAAGAGTGTTTTAAAAAACAGATTTTTAAAAAGACGTACTTCTCATAATCAAATGATTTCATATAATATATCTAATCAATAATTCTATTTGTAAAGATGGAGAAAAATCAGAACTTACTGAAAAATTTTACTAAAATTGAAATCAACTTTTTATTTTCTTTAAAATGCAGTTATTTTGCCTGTAAACTATGATCAAACTAAAGTGCATAGTATCAAAACATCTGAAAGTCATTTTTTATAAATACCTAAATGACCTGCAATCTCTATTTGGATATTTTTTTTTTTTTTGAAACAGGGTCTCACTCAGTTACCCAGGCTGGAGTGCAGTGGCACCATCTTGGCTCGCTGCAACCTCCACCTCCCAGGCTCAAGCAATCCTCCCCACTGAGTAGCTGGTACCGGTGTGCACCATCACACCTAGCTAATTTTTGTATTTTCTTGTAGAGACAGGGTTTTGTCATGTTGCCCAGGCTGGTCTTGAACTCCTGACTTCAGGCAATTCAACTGCCTCAGCCTCCCAAAGTACTGGCATTACAGGCATGAGCCACCACGCCCAGCCAGAGAAATTTTTTTTTTTTTAATTTAGAGACATTTAGTAAGGAAATTAAAAAAAAAAATTGTATGCATTAACACTGAATCATATCAATTATTTTAGTGGAGAGTAGAAGATAGCAAGGTAGCAGAAAACAGCAATCTGTAGCCTCTAGTTAACTTCTTTGTAATCTATTTTTACCCAAAGTATCACTTTCCTGGGTTATCACTCAGGTTATCACTTTTCTTCTGCTTATATAAACTATCCTTAACATTGTGCCTTTTCAAATACCCTCAAATTAAGGAAAATACTTCATTGCTAATAATACATACATGTATTTCATACCTATATTAGGATGATTCAGTATCTTCATTATTCGAACTTCTCGAAATAACTGTTAAAGAAAACAGGTAGATATATTTCTGTTAAAAAAAAAAAACAAGCAAGCAGAGAGCCAATTAAAATATTTATTTGAAGAAATTAATCTGCTTATAAAATGCTACAGGACTCTGTAAAGGAACTAAAAGTATTTTCTCAGTCCCAACTCTAGCTATGTTAACTTAGACTGCGACATTAACTTCGCTGTGACATGGTTTCTTTTTTTTTTTTTTTCAGACGGAGTTTTGCTCTTGTTACCCAGGCTGGAGTGCAATGGCGCGATCTCGGCTCACCGCAACCTCCGCCTCCTGGGTTCAGGCAATTCTCCTGCCTCAGCCTCCTGAGTAGCTGGGATTATAAGCACGTGCCACCATGCCCAGCTAATTTTTTGTATTTTTAGTAGAGACGGGGTTTCACCATGTTGACCAGGTTGGTCTCGATCTCTCGACCTTGTGATCCACCCTCCTCGGCCTCCCAAAGTTCTGGGATTACAGGCTTGAGCCACCGCGCCCGGCCTGTGACATGGTTTCTAAAAGAATTTTAAATAGATGAACTCTAATGATCTCTGTGTATGTGGTGTGAATACATTATACACAATAAAACTTACAAATTATTCAACTACTCCTTATGAAAAGCAACAAAAGAAAAACACTGTGAAAATGGAACTAAATGGTCCTTCTTATGATATTTATACAGAAACCACCTTCCTTAGGGGTTTGACTCTAAAGTCTCTCTACTGACTGATCAAAGATTTTAATGAAAGATTCAGTAAGATTTTTAGGTAGATTTGTAGAATAATATTAAATAATAATAAAAATACATTTACTAATTCATATAAAAACAAAATGACAAGAAGTGACTTGAAAAATGAATATTTAAATTTCCCTCCTTTCCATTTTACTTTTTAAACAATACAGGGTGTATTTTTCAAAAGCATAATTTGGTACTATTTTCTCTATGTCTTTGAGAATGTGTCAGATTCCAAATAAAGCAATTTGTTCAATAGGAGAACCAAAAATCGGTGATATTCTGAAAGTTACATTAAGACATATGCATTTTAGCAAATAAAATCTAAAGTTACTGCTTTCAAGAGGTGACATTTCTCAAGCGAAGATACACAATGGCTAAAAGAACACAAAAAGATGTTGAACATTACTAATCATTATGAAAATATAAATCAAAGCCACAAAGAGGTACTACCTCACAACTATTAGGACGACTACTATCAAAAACCAACCCCTCACTCTGCCCAGAAAATAGCAAATGTTGCCGGGATGTGGAGAAACTGGAACACTTCTGCAGTGTTGATGGGAATGACAAATGATAGAGCCTCCATGAAAAAAAAAATAGTAGTTCCTAAAGAAATTAAAAATAGAATTACCACATGATTTGGCAATTCCACTTCTGGGTATATGTCATATACCCAAAGAACTGAAAGCAGTGACTCAAGCAGACACTAGCACACCCATGTTCATAGTAGCATTATTCACAATAGCCCCGCAACCAGAGTCTACCAACAGATGAAGGGATAAACGACATGTGGTCCATACCAACAATGGGATATCATTCAGCCTTAAAAAGGAAGGAAATTCTGACATGTGCTACAACATGGATAAACCTTAAGGATATTATGCTAAGTGAAATAAGTCAGTCACAAAAGGGAAAACACTGTACGACTATACTTATACAAGCTACCTAGAGCGGAGTAGTCAAATTCATAGAGATGTAAAGTAGGATGATGGTTACCAGGGACTGGAAGGATAGGGTATTGCATGGGTTACTGTTTAATGAGAACAGAGTTTCTGTTTTGGAAGACGAAAAACATTCTTGAGTTTGACGTGATGTTTGAACAACAATGTAAATGTACCTTAACGCCACTGAATTGAATACTTAAAATGGTTAGGCCAGGCACGGTGGCTCATGCCTGTAATCCCAGCACTTTGGGAGGACAAGGTGGATGGATCACAAAGTCAGGAGATCAAGACCATCTTGACTAACGTGGTGAAACCCTGTCTCTACTAAAAATACAAAAAATCAGCCAGGTGTGGTGGCATGCACCTGTAGTCCCAGGACTAGCTGGGAGGCTGAGGCAGAAGAATCGCTTCAACCTGGAAGGCAGAGGTTGCAGTGAGCCAAGATCACATCACTGCACTCCAGCCTGGGTGATAGAGCAAGATTCCATCTTAAAAAAAAAAAAGGTTAAAATGGTAAATTTTGTTAGGCATATTTTACCACAATTTAAGGAAAGAAATATAATGTGCAAAAAGGCATCAATAAACATTCACCCTAATTAAAACAAAATGACTTACAGCTTAACTGCTACAAAAAAGCTTGCTTTCCCTAGCTATTCTCAGCAATTCCTAGACAAAACCCAGGGAGTCTGTATGTGTGCATATACATATTCATACAAATAAATTTTTATAAAGTCCATGATACTTATAACTTTAATAATTAAAAGTTACATATCAGTAAATAAAATATAAAGGCAGATTCATTCATGTTTAAGACAAGTACTTTCTGTAACTGTGAAACACATTCTCATTTCAATTTGGGGCAAAGAGCATGCAGGTTAACCTCAGGACACACAGTCTTCAGTACACTTGAGATCATCTCCTGCTCTGGCTTTGACAACACATCTTCCTCCTGCCTAAATGGCCCCTCTTGGTCTTTCTGCTAAATCCTCTCCCACTATACTCAACCTTTAAACATGGAGCTTCTCAAGATTCAGCCTTAGCCCCCTTTATCTTCTCACTCTACATGTTTCTCCTAATGAGTTATTATTGCCTCATATATCATCAATTTGTTGCTGATTCCTAAATTTAAATTTCTCATCCCAACATTTATATCCAATCCATATATATCTACTCGATATTTCACTTGGCTGTCTCACAGAAATTCAAACCCAATGCTTGATTTCTCACACCAAATTTGATATTGGTTTTCTCCAGCTTCATCTCTCTCTCGAGCACCCTAATGACTGAAACTTTAGGATCATCCTTAACAACACTCACAAAATTTCCAAATCAGATGCATCACTACGATATTTTTACTTTACCTCCACAATTTATCTCAAACCCATCAATGTCTACCCATCTGTACACCACTGTCACACTGAATTCCACTCGTGTCGGTACACCCATTCTGACTCTTCTATCCTCCCATCCTCTAAGCTGTTATCCACACATCTTTTTACCCTCCCACCCTCCAATCTGTTATCTACTATTTAACATCCACAGGTGGTTTCTCGATGCCATTAAAACAAAACCGCTATCTTGAACGCTGGCTACCAGACTCCGGAAAAAATCAAGATTCTACTTACCTCTCCCAGCCCTATCTCATGACTCTCAAGTGCCTACTCTGAGCCTCACCTGCTCTACCTTTGTGCTCCACAGTCCTAACTAATGACCCCTTTGAGCTCCAAGTCACTGTAACTGATGATTTTGCTATTTGGAGCTTTGGACAATGGGAGTCAGCCTTTACCCAGAAGCATTCCTCAGAGTTTTGGACTCTTCGCCTCTCAAACTGGGCTAACAGGTTTTAAAAAGCTATTAGCATGCTACTAACTGCTTGTCAAAACTGAGCATCTGACCCACAGAGGGACACTGCATTCATTGACCAAATTGCTTTACTCAGGTATGTGAACCAGGAAGAGTTAAAGAAAGCAGCATCAGAAGTCATTTTATATACATATACAAACATATATATATATATATATATATATATATATATATATATACACACACACATATCTATAATACACATGCACATAATAGACTTTATTTTTATAGCAGATTTAGGTTCACAGAAAAATTGAGCAGGAGGTACAAAGAGTTTCCATATACTCCCTGTCCCCACATATGCAGAGGTTCCCCCACCATCAGCATCCCAAACCCAGAGGTACATTTGTTATAATTAATGAACCTACACTGACACATCATTATCACTGAAAGTTCACAGTTTACATTACAGTTCACTCTTGCTACTACCTTACATTCTATGGGTTTAGACACATACCTATCATTTTAGTATTACACAGACTAATACTAATACTGCTCTGAAAATCATGTGTTCCACCTATTCATCCCTCCCTTTTCTCTAACCTCTGGCAACCATTATCTTTTTATTGTCTCCAGTTTCGCCTTTTCCAGAATGTCATATACTTGAAATCATACAGCATGTAGCCTTTTCAGATTGGCTTTTACTTCATAATATGCATTTAAGATTCCTTCAAGTCTTTTCATAGCTTGATAGCTCCTTTCCTTTTAGTGCTAAATTATATTCTCTCTGGATGTACCATAGGTTATTCATCCATTCACCTACTGAAAGACATCTTGGTTGCTTCCAAGTTTTGACCATTGTGACTAAAGCTCCTATAAACATCCATATGCAGGTTTCTGTGTAGACATAAGTTTTCAGCTTCCTTGGGTAAATGCCAAAGAGTGCAACTGCTGGATGGTATGGTAAGATATGTTTGGTTTTGTAAGAAACTGCCAAACTCTCTTCCAAAGTGGCTGTACCATTTGCATTTCCACCAGCAACAAATCAGAGTTCCTGTTGCTCCACAACCTTGTCAGCATTTGGTGCTGTCAGTGTGTTGGACTTTCGCCATTCTAACAGGTATGTAGCAATATCTCATTACTGTTTTAATTATCATTTCTCTGATGACATATGATATGGAATATCTTTTCATATGCTTATTTGCCATCTGTATAATTTCTTTTGATGAGTTGTCTGTTCAGATCTTTCACCTACATGTTAATCAAGTTGTTCATTTTCAAGCCTTTTCAAGCCAATTTTTGAGAAACCTACTCCAATCCTCAATAATACCAGATGCCTGTGGACAGGAGGAAACGTAGAATCTTCATCAAATATGTTGTTGATTCTAGTTTGTCACATCAAAGAAAGGGTCCTTACCATGGGCAGTCTTGGAGGTCCCGGGCAGAGGAAGCCAGAAGTCATATTCCCTTACTACCTCCTCAAGGGTGTCAGGGAGGTGTGGGCCTTGGTCTGAGTGGC